TGAGGGTAGGTTGTTCTGACCATGAAATACTAAGCTTTATATCTATGCAGACATATATTCTTCATATTGTTTGTGACATCACTTCATACATTTTATATGCTGTCCTTTTTTGGGCAGTGCATGATAGCACAACTGGGGTACGTCTGCTTACAGAATATGTATTACTATCATTCCTATGTTAGGCCAGACTTTTTTTATTCCTTGTTTCTCAAGTTTTTATGAGGCAATTTTTTTGGAGAGGGCGTTAGATTTAGATTTGTGTGATTTTCAAAGAATTGTAAGTGAGATCATTGATTGGAGAGAAGAAATGAAATAAACTTTTATTCCATGTATATAACCTTGTTTCTCATCTGCGCGAGACTTTGGTACTTTGATCATGATACTCCCACGGGCAGTAAAAAAATGAAGATAAAAATAATATTTTTCAGCAATTTTTTGGGCTTACAAGTCGACCGCGCGAGAAATTACGCTGAAATAATTATCTCATTTTCGGCTCATGTTTATTCCGCAGGTTCGCGAAAAGAGGGATAATAAAAGTCTGGCCTTACCTGTGATTTTTATTGGAATTGTATACTAGTACTCACATAGGTGTGTTAATTATTGAAAAAAAAATATTATTTGTTTTCTACAGTTAAAGTTGTTTAAAAGTGATGTAATAATGTTATTTTAAGCTCTGCCTTTTAATATTTCTATAAATATTATACAATATTACAGAGTTATTCGTAAAAAAATAAAGAAAATTATTTCATTCATTGTCATCAAACTTTAAATTCGGCAATACAAACAATGAGGTTAACATATCAATTTTAATATATGTCGACAAAACGATGTCAGACTGACATACAGACTGATATTATATATTTTACTCATGACTCTATGAATAGGCACAACAGGGAAATCGACATAACCGGCAGTCTCACGGCAACACATCACCATCCATCGAAATAGCACAGTCACGTCGATTCCCAAGCTCTTTCGAACAGGCAGAAAACACAAACCTTTGTGTTAAACATTGTGTGAATCTGATAATACGTAAGCAGTCCATTTATTTCACATCCTGCCTTACCACTATTTCTAAAATATAAGGGAAAATCAAGTAAATTTGAGTGAAAACTTACCAAACCATAGTACTTTCGAGCACCATTTTGACTGCTTTATTGTTTTCGTGTCGCACGTTATAAAAGCTGACGTGATTGGTCAAACGGAACACACAGTAGGAAACTGTTTTTTGTCGGCCAATAGGAATTTGTTTTGCGAATGAGTGATCTGATCGTTCACGCATGCTCAAATAATATCCGCTTGAGTTATAGCGCCCTCTAACGAAATTAGCACAGCTGGAATGTGAAAACGTAGAGCACACGCGTGAAGTCGAAACATGCAATATTTTGGCTTTGGTTACAATGGATTTGGACAACTTATACAGCAGTCATCCTTACATGTCACAGCTATCGATACTGCTGTGAAAATTATGAATGAAAGCACTTTGGGGGATGACGCTGTCGAAAATGATGTTTCCATGGTAACATCTAACTGGAGTTCGATAAGTATATGCAAAGGTAATTTATACAGAAATTTGATTATATTATTTTCTTATTAAAGTTGTTCATCTTTTGTCTCATTAACTATGTATCAAGGATTTATAAGATATTAAATATACCTGGGGTAATGCAACTTAGATTTATCTATATGTACGATAATATGCGAACAACTCATTAAACAAACACATTTCTAGGATGCTTGGACATGTAAGTAGATCTATCATATGAGCGTGAATACTCTCATTGAAAAAGGCAAAACACATTTTTTCGAGTTGGAACACCAGTGAAATGGACCAAGACATACTATGGCAAATTGTATATAAAAGCAATATATTGTTTATACGGATAGATTGCAAATGAATTGGGTAACTGGGAGTGAGTGTTAGAGTTAGGGTGAGGGATGGGGGGGTACAAAAGCAACTCTTGCCTGCAAATAATCGTTTTTTTCATGTAATTCACATAAAACTGTAATAAATCAGAATTACAACACAAAATAAATAAGCCTGATTGACGCCAGGATAGCATTAAAATTGCCATTTGATAAGGAGATGGCCACACAGCCCTGTCATGTAGTCCCAAACAGAAAATGATTTCTGTTGTAGAATGCACTATGTGTCAGCACTAGTACTTGCAACTTGCGCTTACAAAAAAAAAAAGTCAGGAGAGACAACAGTGGCATTCAATGTCAACTGTCGCAAAAACATTTAAAAAAAACAAAACACAAAATTAATTCACAAAAAAATTCAATAAAACCTTTCAAAATACAATCACTCCAATTCCAGTTTATCCAGTACAAGCTTTACCGTTATACAATCACATATGGTGTCCTCAGTATACATGTTAAAGGTCAGGTCCCACTGGTAAAAACTAGTTTCAAAACTCACTAAACTATAGTAAATGCGATGATAAACAAAATTATATAATCCTGAACAAATTGTGTTTCAGAAATTTCATATTTCTTTACATGGGAGTTTAAATAATGGACTTATTACATGTATTCGATTTCCGGCAATATAAACAACGTCTTGTGTTGCGGCCGCAACTTCACAGTGCATGAACTGGTTCAGAATAAATGGACATATTAAGTCAACTGAATTCAAAATTAAATGATGTAACAATACATATAATCACTGCATACCTCTATTCCAGGGTCAGATTGTAAATCACTTCAGAAAACTTAATTCTTGTTCATATATGTACATTAGTAATAATTTCAATCATCTTTTGTTTTTTAAGGACAAGAAGTTCATTTACAAGGGTTTATTCATGGGAAAAGGAATCAGAAAAAATCCTACAGTAGCGCTGTTCCTGTCCTTGATATTCTACTCACAGAAGAGGATTTGTTTATACTGATGAATGATGGGAAATCATGCAAAGTAATCAAATATACATCAACTTTAGTGGAGGATAAAATTATGCAAATAAGACGTTTGAAAAATAGTGAAGGTGATGTCTTTGAGGAGACTGGATTACAACAGATTACGTATGGTGATACTCACATGGTTGCAGTCACAGGTATAATGTAACATAGATTACATATGGTGATACTCAGTTGATTGCAGTCACAGGTATAATGTCACATAGAATACATGATATGGTGATACTCACATGGTTGCAGTCACAGGCATACATAGATTACATATGGTGATACTCACATGGTTGCAGTCATAGGTATAATGTCACATAGATTGAATATGGTGATACTCACATGGTTGCAGTCACAGGTATAACATCACATTGACTACATATGGTGATACTCACATGGTTGCAGTCACAGCCATACATAGATTACATATGGTGATACATGGTTACAGTCACAGCCATACATAGATTACATATGGTGATACTCACATGGTTGCAGTCACAGGCATAACATCACATAGATTACATATGACGATACATGATTGCAGTCACAGGTATAATGTAACATAGATTACATATGGTGATACATGGTTGCAGTCACAGGTATAGTGTAACATAGATTACATATGGTGATACGCACATGGTTGCAGTCACAGGTATAATGTAACATAGATTACATATGGTGATACTCGCATGGTTGCAGTCACAGGTATAATGTCACATAGATTACATATGGTGATACTCACATGGGTGCAGTCACAGGTATAATGTAACATAGATTACATATGGTGATACTCACATGGTTGCAGTCACAGGTATAATGTAACATAGATTACATATGGTGATACTCACATGGTTGCAGTCGCGCGTATAATGTCACATAGATTGAACATGGTGATACTCACATGGTTGCAGTCACAGGTATAATGTAACATAGATTACATATGGTGATACTCACATGGTTGCAGTCATAGGTATAATGTAACATAGATTACATATGGTGATACTCACATGGTTGCAGTCACAGGTATAATGTCACATAGATTACATATGGTGATACTCACATGGTTGCAGTCATAGGTATAATGTAACATAGATTACATATGGTGATACTCACATGGTTGCAGTCGCGCGTATAATGTCACATAGATTGAACATGGTGATACTCACATGGTTGCAGTCGCGCGTATAATGTCACATAGATTACATATGGTGATACTCACATGGTTGCAGTTACAAGTATAATGTCACATAGATTACATATGGTGATACTCACATGGTTACATAGATAGATAGATAACAGCTTTATTACAACCGTGTAGAAAATTTTACATTTCTAATTTGGTGTTTAAAATGTAATAAAGTTAATAATGAATAACTAAAAAAGTAAGTAGGCAAAGTTACATGCAGTCACAGGGTATAATGTCACATAGATTACATATGGTGATACTCACATGGTTGCATGCAGTCACAGGTATAATGTAACAGATTACATATGGTGATACATGGTTGCAGTCACAGGTATACTGTAACAGATTACATATGGTGATACATGGTTGCAGTCACAGGTATACTGTAACAGATTACATATGGTGATACATGGTTGCAGTCACAGGTATACTGTAACAGATTACATATGGTGATACATGGTTGCAGTCACAGGTATAATGTCACATAGATTACATATGGTGATACCCACATGGTTGCATGCAGTCACAGGTATAATGTAACAGATTACATATGGTGATACTGGTTGCAGTCACAGGTATACTGTAACAGATTACATATGGTGATACATGGTTGCAGTCACAGGTATAATGTCACATAGATTGAACATGGTGATACTCACATGGTTGCAGTCACAGGTATAATGTCACATAGATTACATATGGTGATACTCACATGGTTGCATGCAGTCACAGGTATAATGTAACAGATTACATATGGTGATACATGGTTGCAGTCACAGGTATACTGTAACAGATTACATATGGTGATACATGGTTGCAGTCACAGGTATAATGTCACATAGATTGAACATGGTGATACTCACATGGTTGTAGTCACAGGTATAACATCACATAGATTACATATGGTGATACTCACATGGTTGCAGTCACAGGTATAATGTAACATAGATTACATATGGTGATACATGGTTGCAGTCACAGGTATAATGTAACATAGATTGAACATGGTGATACTCACATGGTTGCAGTCACAGGTATAACATCACATAGATTACATATGGTGATACCCACATGGTTGCATGCAGTCACAGGTATAATGTCACATAGATTGAATATGGTGATACTCACATGTTTTCAGTCACAGGTATAATGTCACATAGATTAAATATGGTGATACTCACATGGTTGCAGTCATAGGTATAATGTCACATAGATTACATATGGTGATACATGTTTGCAGTCACAGGTATAATGTCACATAGATTGAACATGGTGATACTCACATGGTTGCAGTCACAGGTATAATGTCACATAGATTACATATGGTGATACTCACATGGTTGCAGTCACAGGTATAATGTCACATAGATTACATATGGTGATACTCACATGGTTGCAGTCACAGGTATAATGTCACATAGATTGAACATGGTGATACTCACATGGTTGCAGTCACAGGTATAATGTAACATAGATTACATATGGTGATACTCACATGGGTGCAGT